GTATGTCATAGTATAGTGTGTCATAATATAGCGTGTCATAGTATAGTATGTCATAGTATAGTATGTAGCAATGATGCCTTCACTTACTGTTGTACATGTGAACGGTGATGCGTTCAGGTACCGTTATGCCCTTTAAAGAAAAAAACATTTATTTAAGTGAGACATAAAACTTCAAACTGGATTAATCTCAGGACTAGACTTTCCTTAAACTGAGGAATTCATTTCACTGAAAAACCAAACAGAACTAATAAGAATCTAAGAATTAAATCTTGTCCTGAATGTGACCCGGCCTCCGTGTTCCGGTCTCCACGGTGACCTAACACGGTTGTTTTCCAGCGTTTGGCAGCTGATGTTCGGCTGCAGGCTGCTGCCAGTGAACCGACCAATCAGGAGTTCCCCACATTAACATGCAGCAAGCACATGTTTGGGAGATCTTGTTCTCTCCATTCCGAGGAGCTCCGGTGACGTAAAAGCGGATGTTACCGACAGAAGAGAGTCGGTTGAACGCTGCTTCTGTTGGAGATGAGGTTCAGTCACAATGAGAGGAAGACACATAAAGCTTCATGTACGCTTGTATACTTTTGTACGTGCTAAAAGATGTGCATCACTTCTGAGCTTGCATCTCACCCAAGCTGAGTGTGATTTAAAGCCAGAATCAAATCTGAAACCTTGAATGTTTCTGAAAAAAGAAATGTGAGGATTTTCCTGCTCAACTCAAAACAGTCTGTTTTCTAACGCTGGTTACAGGAGCAGCAGCTGGAAGTGTTCACACCAAACACAAAGGGAATTATGGAAGAAATAACCGACTACTGTACTTGTTGAGGAAGTCCAAGATATCCCGGGAAACTAAACGCCGTCTTGTCTGGTTCATAACATCATCTGCAGAATAATTCATTGTATCTAAGAAGAAACGTGTCGTCTGGTTTCCTACAGCTGTATGAACCCATTAAACACATCTCTGATTTAACTTCAACAAACATTCTAAAGATGCTGAAATAATATATAATGATGTTGATTTGTAAGAAGTCTGAATTCATGCTTTGTCAGGTCTGTCCACAAGATGACAAGCTAACAGCTGTTAAGATGGTTGTTTTCTGAATGGAGTCTGGATCAATCAATGCTAAGCTAACATTGTAGCTGCTCCATCATCTAGGCGTACATAGGTCAGCGTGGTTATTGTTTGTTCCATAGACAGTCTGTGGTTCACACTCATACATTCATACACAGTCTGGTCTCTGTGCTAATATGAGGTATCGTAGAGCTCTGGGTGAACACAGACGGATACAAGATGTTTATCCTCCATTTGTGATGCAACAGCGTCAGGACGTCAGAGATGAAGGAGGAGAATCGATCCATCGCTGAAAGGCTTTCGAGCGACAGTGTCACGTGAATTTCTCAAATTCGCAAATTAGTCTTTGTAATGACTTTGTATGTAATCGTGTTGCATGATTGGGTGTGAACGCGGCATCAGTCGCTGTGGTTTTCGTCGTTTGGTCCAAACTTGTCTGACATGGAGTTGGGCTCACCTTTCTTTGTTTTTAAAATAATTGATTTAAAAGTGAAAATCAAAATCACGTTTGTGTGCAGTGAGCTGTTCCGTCTCGTTAGAATAACCTCCATCAGTCCTGTTAGTTGTTCACGTTGAAGTGCAGTTTGGTTAAAGAACTTCTTCCGGGTCAAAGTCTTCTTTACATGTTCCAACACACGGTCCACAGCAGCCCCAGTGGAACCAGTTGAACCAGTGGAACCAGTGGAGCGCTTCGTCCGGAGGCTGAGTTGTAGATCTTGATGCGTCCTTCAACAGATGGATACACTTTCTTCTTCTGCATGATGTAGTTGGACACAACTGAAATGTCCAAATTCCCTGAAAAGGAAATGAAAAAAAACAAACAAGGATCAAACAAACGATGCTTTTTTCTTTTTACGAGTTCACGAAAACCAAAACGACCGGACGTCTCACCGCTGTCGTGTTTGAGCATCTCCTCGGCGATTATGGAGAACCCGTCTCCGCCCGTCACCATGTAGGACGGCAGCACCACTTTGTAAACCGCCTCCTCCTGAACCGGTTCGTATCGAGGAACCCGACACCGTGTGCAGAGGACGCTGAGGCTCTTCACCAGATGGCCCGCCGGTTTGGAGAAGTCGAACTCTACGTGAAACCCTGTTGGGACGACACGGGAAACGTTTCCATTGATACGAAACCTCGAAACCTTTGAGGAAACAACTGAAACACTTCTCCATCAAAAGGTCTTGTTTTTTTAACAACCAGTGAACAGGAAGTGACCATACATGGACTGAGGAGGAGTGACGTAGAGACGCCGTATATGTCTCTGGTAGAGACCTGTCAATCACTGTGTAGCCCCGCCCTGAAGCATACCCTGCTTTATGGTCTGTTTGACTCTAAATGGACCATAATGTACTAAATGAACATCATGCTGTATTGAAGAAGACTTGAAACTAGAGATTGAGACCATAAACTCATGTTTACAATGTTTACTGAGGTAATAAATCAAGAGAGAAGTAGAGTCATTTTCTCATAGACTTCTATACAACCAGAGGAGTCGCCCCCTGGTGGACACTAGAGAGAATGCAGCTTTAACACATGAAGCTTTGGATTCACTTAAGTTAAAGAACCAGAGGTTGTCTCCTGGACTGAACCAAGACGGTAAACTTTATTTATCCTTTCAATCAGCAGATCCACTCCTTCTGTTCTTACCTTTCACAATAAAATCCCTAAATATATAATATTTGTGCGAGTGTTTTGTATTTTTCGTGTTGATTATTCGTAACCTCCCGGTGTGTAAGCTCACTTATGTGCCGGACTATCCACTCTACAATCACAAGACAATGACTTATTTGCCCCTTGTCAGTAAAATGTCTTTTAAAAGCTTATTAATGCTCATAAGTTGTCATTATTCAAACTGCTGTGCAACATTTATTCACAGAAATGAACAGTGAGTGTGAGAGAGCACAAAGCGAGCCTGTCTTCACATCTGGTTCTGGACCTAAATGAACCCCAGGGTTCCAGTGAAAAGTGATCCAGGGCCTTTTCGTGAGAACCTTAATTAAAGCAGGATGTCGTCTCCTCGAGAAGAAGCCGAGCCAAGTTCAGTTTGTTTGAGAGAGTCTGCATTCTGCTGCAGGGTGTTGTTGTTGTGTAGCTGCGTGAGTGTCCTTATTGTTAAAGACACAAACCTTTGTGATGTGTTTGTAAAGTGTGTACAGCCTCGTTCTCTTGCATGTTACGTACCGAGTCTGTTTAGCACTTAATACTACACAACACTGGAGGACAGATAGAAGTGTGAGTACCGGACACTTGGAGGAACTCTCCGGTGCTCTGGCCGTATCGTCTCACGGAGTGTTCGAAGGCTTTGAACAGCGTGGAGCCCTTCAGCTGCACCAGGTCGTATGTTCCTCCGAAAGGTAGGACGGCGATCAGGTCCTCCATGGTGATCGAACCTGCAGACAAAACTAGTTTCATTCTGACAAAACGTTCGTCACGGAAAACACCAAATCGTCAACGAAGGTCTGTAGCATCTCTTTTAAACAAGGGCAATGTAGAGAGACTAAAACACGGTGAAATAAAAACAAATAGTCCCAAATTTAGCTTGCAAACAGACTGAGAGTCAAAGGAGACCTCAAGTTGTGTTTCAGATATGTGGATCACAAAAACTGAATTCTGTTTTGGACTCTGGGGACAGGAAGTAGACCTGAACCCAGAACATCCGGGAGATCTGGACGCTTTCGTAACTCTCCTGTGAGATGTCCGGTGCAGAAAGGTCCTCAAAGACTGCGTTAAAGATGAACACACGGACAGATGTTCTTCTTATTTTCCTTCTCCAGCCCAAATCATCTGATATCATCTGATATCTCTCCTGACACGGCTGATCAAATATTTCTGTTTTTCTTTGTATAGACGCACCGTTTCTGGTGCGTTCGTCGATGGATGTGCGGACGCCTCCTCCGTTGAGGATGCAGGCGCTGACGTGGTTCCACTGAAGACCGTCTGAGTCCCCGATGCTGCTGTCGATCTGGAGAAGCAGAGTCACGCTTTCTTATTTATTTAAATTGGTAAGGGACCATTTGTTACCATCTGATGAGTTAAGTTAGCATCAACATGTAGCTTTTACGTTGTCGTGTTCCACGTTCTCTGAGCGAGTATTTCACTCACTTTCCTCACGAGGAACTCTTAAAATACACGACACAAACAACCAAAACATCTTGCAGAAGTATATTCAGTTTGTAGACAGATTGCTTCCCCCGGTTAGCAGATCGATTTAATGATAGTTTAGCCTTTGAATTATGAAATCCAGACAAAGTTCACCAGAAGAGTCCCTCCTGCTGTTTGAAGCTGCTTCACATTATTTTATTTATTTCTCAGCTTATTTTTATCGACTGTCTCACTGAGCTTTCTGTTTTATTATTGCCAAATTTTTGCGGGATTAATAAAGTAACTATCCATCCATCATCCATCCATCCATCCATCCATCCATCATCCGTTCCATCCATCTATCTATTGTATCTATCCATCCATCCATCCATCATCTATCCATCCATCATCCGTTCCATCCATCTATCCATCTACTGTATCTATCCATCCATCCATCCGTCTATCATCCATCCATCTATCCATCTACTGTATCCATCCATCCATCCATCTATCATCCATCCATCTATCCATCTACTGTATCCATCCATCCATCCGTCTATCATCCATCCATCTATCCATCTACTGTATCTATCCATCCATCCATCCATCATCTATCCATCCATCTATCCATCTACTGTATCTATCCATCCATCCATCCGTCTATCATCCATCCATCTATCCATCTACTGTATCTATCCATCCATCCATCCATCATCCGTTCCATCCATCTATCCATCTACTGTATCCATCCATCCATCCATCTATCATCCGTTCCATCCATCTATCCATCTACTGTATCCATCCATCCATCCATCTATCATCCATCCATCTACTGTATCCATCCATCCATCCGTCTATCATCCATCCATCTATCCATCTACTGTATCTATCCATCCATCCATCTATCATCCATCCATCATCCATCCATCTATCATCCATCCATCCATCTATCATCCAGCCATCTATCCATCCGTCTACTGTATCTGTCTATCTATCTAAATACGGACCATGGCGTCACAGATCAGGTTTCCCAGGTTGCATTCCCTAAATCGACACTCCTCAGCGGACCCGTTCAGGAAGACCAGAGTGTTTCCCAACACCTGGGCCGAGTAGTTGGCCAGATTCTTCTTCCATTCCTCCACGTCGGCGAGAACTTCTCGATCTGGACGAAACATTCAGGCATTTATTTAAGAGACGGATGAAGCCAGCAGTGTTCCGCCCGACATTAAAAACAACAAAAGGCCACAAAGGGTCAGCAGATGTCCTCTTTACCCTGCGGGACGCCGCTGTCCAGCAGGACGGGGTTTCCTGTAGAGGTCAGGACGTTCCCAGTGTCGTCAAAGGTCACCTTCAGATAACCCAGATACTTTCCAAAGGCGTAGGCCTGAACGACGGGAACCTGACGCCCGTCGGATGATCTCACCATGAAGGGATACAGACCTGCAGGGACCTCAGAGGAAGGGGGGGGTCCTGGAACAGAAGAAAGTTTGGAGAGATCAGAGGTATTGGTCTGTGGGAGTCTAAGAACACTGACCACGTTTATCAAGCAGCTCAATGAGCCGAGTATGTTCATTGCAGGTCAGCCTGTGGAGTCTGCTGTTAACCTAGAATATGTTGTAAAATATGCTCTTTGCTGTTTCAGAGCTCAAGTTGAACTCTTCGAAAAAAATCATTTTGTGAGAAGAGAAAACAATCTGTTAGTATCCGAGCTCCTGAGTCCAGAATCAAAGTTAAAGTGGATTAAACAGAACCGGTTCATTTAGACTCCCCTCATATATTTAACCTTGAGATAGAATATCTCTTTTATAAGAACACAAAATCACATACAAATAATTACCATTATAATCATATTTTAGCCGTTACATTTCTCATCTAACACGTTTTGAATGTGACGTTTGAACAACAGGAAGTTAGTTCTTGTAGTCTGGCCCAACATTTGCATAAAGACAAATCTTACTCCGTCTTTGAGTCATAACTCATAAGTCAGATCTTAAGTCACAGACCTGATGTGAATAAACGTCTGTAAATCCATAGAGATCACAGAAAACAGAGGCTCTTCATAACTGCAGAAGTTGCCTGAGAGTCCTCGTGTTTTAAAGTTGTCTTCAGTATCAAAGTAATCCAGTGAAAGCTCTCCGTACATTTAAGGGTTAACTGCAAACAGGAGCTGACAATAGATCATTCGGCTGACTTTGTATTCATTTGGCAGAATGTGCACAAATACGAGACAGAGATTGGCAACATTCTACTTCCTGTTGAGTTCCCTTCATTCCTTTGAACGGATTCCCAGAAGTCATCACATTTCAGACTAAACAGCTTCAGTTCCTCTCACTTTCTGCTCAACTCTAACGTTCCTCATCTGGCTTCTGGTGCCAAGAAACCTTTTCAGTGAAACTATTTTTGGCTGATTGAAGTTTCTACACTTTGTTGAACACAAAGTTGAACGTGTTCTCTCTTATTAGTTCCTCGTACTTATCTAGCAGTACTTTCCTCTGAAACAAAAAGACTGGCTGGAGGGAGATGTGAAGGCAGGTTTTCATACAGTTAATGAAGCGCGACACACCTCAACAGTGACTCGACTTCGGAGAGAAAACCAACTAACGAAATGAAATCACTTAGAATCCGATGAGTCATCTGCGAGGAACACACTTCTTTTGTGTTTAGGAGCTCCGCGTGTGAAGCTCTCGCAAGATCTGACTGATCATCTAACGACGGCTTTTTAAAGAATGTCTTGTCGAAAGTGTGCAATTATGTGCATTCATGACGATGTATGCTTACAACATGTTGAATTTTAGTGTACATGTTTGTGCCTGTTCGTTTGGCTGCCTTCCTTGCAGGTGTGGCAGAGGGTTGTCAGGCAGAGTGGAAGCACCTGAGGCCATTTGCAACACTGGTCCTGTGTGCCAGAGCACCCGGTACAAAAACCCTCTGGGTTCTCAGTTGGCCTGGCTCCTTCCTGAGACCCCCACTTTGGCTTTGGTTTCAGTTATGGTTTGTTTCTACACTATACAACACTGCATACACACTTTACACGCACCCACTCACCTACACTGCTGAAATGACTGACTTCACATGTCACTGTTAGTTTATGTTTGTCTTTTATATTACTTTAAACTTAATAAATAATTGATTAACTGTTCATTGAATGCGTCTCCCTTTGTTGTCATGGCCGTTCGGCCCGGTTTGTGATGTGTTATCCTGTGTTCAGAGGAAATGTGAGCTTTTGTTGTGAAGAAACAGGAAGCTTGGTCGTCTTTGCCAATAAAGAAGCTGTCTCGCAACTTTAAAAGTTCTTTTCTTGTCGAGAAACAGAACGTTTTGATGTCAGATTATTATCATAATCTGACAACTTTTGTTTGGTGAAGAAAACTGTGAAAACGTCATTTTGTTTATTGCTTTTTAGTGACGAACTGTCCGAACCCCAAAGACATTCAGTTCATTATGAAATAAGAAAAGCAGGAAATCACATTTAAGTAGCTGGAACCAACAAACGTTTCACAGTTTTTGCTTTAAAATTGAGCGTAAATATTATAAAAATAGGTGCAGATTTATTTTCTGTATCGGCTATTTGATTAATTAACTTGTCTGACAATCTATGTTCCAAACAGCTGTGATTTATGTAAAGTGGTGCCATTAGCACACCATTAGCACCTATTAGCATGGCCATTAGCATGTCCTCTCTTTGGTTGCGCATGGAAAGAATGTGACAAACAAGGCCAAACTTGGAGCTTATGTAACAGGAAGTGAAGAATGACATCATCGTCATCACTCTGAACAAGAGGACGAAGCCTCAGAGTCTTTGAGTTCATGTTTCTTTTTTCCTTCTTTCTGTGCGTTTGACTGACTTTAACATCACAAATCTGCACTTTACAGGAGGCCTTGAACACACCACTGTCAGCTTTAAGGACACTTTTTCCGTCCAAACAAGTTCTGGCCGATCTCAGCAGAAAAGCATTCCTGCAGGCCGAAGTCCAAACCAACAAGTCTCCGTCTGCTGCTGTTTATATGAACGACTGAGTTATTTACGGAGACCACGCTGCTGTCAACACCACGTTCACTCTAAACCTCAGCACCAGTGTGACCGCTCAGTCTCCTCTCCTCACACAGCTCACAGAGAAGTAATAATACAATAACCTGTTTCTGCTCAGTGGAAAACTCAAAGGTATGAGCTGAGATGCCTCTTGTTGTTACACTTCTCTTTGCTGCTGTAACGCTGCGTATTAAAGATAAAGATGAATCCTCAACATAACTGCAGAAAAACAAATAAAAATGCACTCTGTTCCACTACAGATAAATAAATGACAAATGACAAAATGTTGTGCAGCGGTGTGAGCGTACGATGGAGGTTTCACTGAGTGTACTTGAACGCAGCATCAGCGTGTCCAGATGTGACGTCAGCAGCTGTATCTTCCTCCTTACCCGTGAACAGGAACGTGTTGCTGTGTCCGCCGATGACCACGTCGACTCCGCGGACCTTCCGGGCGATCTCCTGATCCACGGTGAAGCCGGAGTGACCGAGAGCGACGATCTTATCGACTCCCAGCGTCTGCAGCTTGTCCACCTGCAGCTGGAGGGCGCTCACCTCGTCCTCGAACCGCAGGTGAGGTCCTGGAGAGAGACCGGAGGGATGAAGTATTTACACTTCATCTTTTGTACGATGTAGCTACTAGAATAAGAGAGAGAGAGAGAGAGAGAGAGAGAGAGAGAGAGAGAGAGAGAGAGAGAGAGAGAGAGAGAGAGAGAGATGTTT